TTTAACTCAGTGCATCTGGAGGCCACCAAAATGGGAGAAAGCAGCATTAATATCTTTAAAATATGCTGCCTTTGACCAAGAGTTTGGACTTCCAGTGGGGGGAGGGGGCTGCCTGTGGGAACTTGTGCTGAGGATGAGTGTATTGCCTTTGTTCTGCAAATAAAAGCAGAAGAAGTTCTTAGTGCGGAGAATATTATGCTGACGGGTGCCCTTCCTCCCTTTCCCAGATTTATGGTCTGGGAAGGTTAGTTGGCGCGCTGCCCAAGCATAATTAGCTCACCTTCTTCTTCTAAGCCCGAAGAAGAGGTAATCAAGCTGTCAAACGGCTGATGAATTGCTGTTCAGACAGTTTAACGCAACCAAGAATCCGGAGCTATTAAGAACAAGTTCCCACAGGCAGCCCCCTCCCCCCACTGGAAGTCCAAACTCTTGGTCAAAGGCAGCATATTTTAAAGATATTAATGCTGCTTTCTCCCATTTTGGTGGCCTCCAGATGCACTGAGTTAAAATCCTTATGATTCTCAGCCTTTTCAGAATAGTCAGTGATGGAAAATTATTCTCTAGGTTATCCAATGAATCTAGCAAATTTCTGACTGATGATGTTGCTTGTTTTGGGGTTTGCTAGAAATATATGTGGTGTTTACAATTTGCATTGGCTATAAAATGAAAGTTCTAATCTAAAATAAGTATTGGAGATGATGCGTTTAAGTTATTTGGTAAACTATTAAGGAATAAATCATTCTGGGCATGCTTCTTAAAAACAACATAATAAAATAGCTTCCATCTCTATGTCACACTAGATTTACAAAGAAAATAGCTAGTGTAAGTGAGTTAAGGTATTGGGGAGACTTGAGTTCACTAGTCCAGTCACTGTCTCTCAGCACAAACTACCAAACAAATAGTTGTAGTGGGGGGAAAATAAAAAACTGGAAAAGAGTGCTATGTTTGTCACCTTGAGTGCCATAGGAAAAATAGGATAATAACTGGGCACATGCTAATGATTGTAAATTCAGTACAGTTGTTTTAAATTTTAAATGGGTTGCTCCTTGAAACATTTCCAGAATAGTAGGACAGGATATGAACTCGAAATGCTTCAAATTTTGCTTACCAAAACCAATAATACATGTGTTACTTTTATCCTCTGGTGACACCTTTCTTTCACATGGGAAGCTTGGTGTGGTGAGAAAAAATGCTGGGTAAATTCATCCAGCAAACTAGTTCATGATTTACTTCCTTATGATTTAGCGAGTGAGTTGCAACTCATTAAACTGGAAGCCATGGCTTAGAAGCTGCAGTGACTGGATTCATAAAATTTGCCAGGCCATGAACAAGAATTCAGCTACAGAGATCTTCCTTCTGATCCAAAACTGAAGACTGTCTGGGAAAACGTAGTCCTATTATTGTCTCCTCCAACTATACCCAGATTCTATCACCTGAGACAAAGGAAGAGTATGGCAGAAGATTTCTCCTGAGCCCAGTATAACTTGTAGGGCTATCATTGTTGGAAGCAGGTTTTTAGAAAGCTTAGCAGGACACAATTGGTCTTCTTTGTCTCTCAAGGCTTGGCCTGTGGACACCCAACTCAGAGCTTTCGGGACTGGCTACAAATCAACCTTGGGAACTTCAGCCGGAATGCTGAATACCATAACTTGCTGAGCTGGAACCTGTATTTTGATGGCGTGAGTAGACATAATTTAAAATGATCACAACTATCTTTATTGCAAAACTTACTCTATACAAAGAAAAAAAGAAGGACCAAGTAAGTCTTGCAGACTGCTGAGTTATTAGGAATTCTCCTTCTTCCCCTCATTATCATCTCCATGCTACTCAAAACCAATGGGAAAAAAGCTTTACCCAGACAGAAATCCAAACTTAAAATAAGGAAGAATTGCTTGATGATAAGCAGTGGTGCAACGTTCATGCCTCCTAGAAGTACTGATGTTTTCAAGTTTGTGATCGTTTGCTCTGTATCCTTTTCCTCCACTTCTAGATGGCTGTTTTAGAATATTTGTCTCCATCACAACTTGCATCATTCACTCTGGAATCTGGAGTCATCAACAACAAAGAGCACATGTTCCAGATCCTTGCAAAATTGCAGAACAAACCACTAGCAGAAATTTATGAATATTTGGATCAATTCAACACAGTGGCCCAGAAGGTATGATACTTATTTAATGCAAGTAATCCTCAGGTTATGATGGCAGTTGGAACAGGAATTTCCATCACAAAGCTATGTCATAAAGCATGACATGGTGGGACTACTTAGTCACTACTTGGCAATCTTGTAGGACCATGTGGGTTGTTATGCAGGAAGAGGTATAAGTCCCAGACAAGTAGGTTTGTGGTGTATGGGTACCACAGGGGATAAGGGGTACCACAAGCAAGTGCTGTAGAGCATGAGTGGTTAAAAAAAATGGGAGCAGGAAGCTGACAGGGAACATGAGAAATTGTAATCAAATGACCGTGGGATGCTGCAATATCATAATTACAAGCAGGGCACCAAGCACCTAGATCATCCAGAGATAATGCAATAGCCAGAACTTCAAAGACCAGTTATAAATCCCCTTCATTCAATGCTGTTGTAACTTTGAATGGTCAATAAACAAGCGGTCATAAACCAAAGCCTATTTGTGTGTATATGTATGTCTATATTTACATACTCATACAAGATCTTCTTTTCTCCAGCCAAACCAACTTTCTATTTTCCTGCTGTTCTTAGTTCTTCCTCAAGCTCTTTGAGTAAATTCAACTATCCAAGTGCCTGAACTGAGGACGAGAAGCAGAATTTGATCAGCAATCAGTTATTTACACCAAGTTTTATAAAAAATCCCAAGAGTTAAATGGTGGTTCTATTTTCTCTTTTTAAACACACAGCTTGGAATAACATCCCTGAAAGATGAAGGCATACAAAAACAAATGCTTTTGCAGTTTCTTGAGGGGGCTGAGGGTACATTCTCAGCATTTGCTCCAGAAAACTGGACCCACTTGCTGTCAACAAGACTGGGCCTCCTTTTGCCAAGCATCAGCGAAAAGGAATCTCAAAGGATCTTGTCTTACGTTTCAAATTGTGACAGCTTCAGAGCTGTGTGAGTATAAAGCAAAAGGCAAAAGAAGGTGAAAATCCACTTCTGGGATATTTGGAAGGGAGATCAGAAAAGTTAAGGACCACCCCATCAAAGTGTGTGTCTGTCAAAGTACTGAGGCAGACCAATTGGCCAAGTCCCCAGGGAGCTTCTCTGAATGGGGCAGAAATTTCCAGTAATTTGAGGTTTTGTGCTAGTTGTGTTATAATTTGTATCATTTGTGCAGTGACATCACATGTTATTATGTCTTATACCTAGCCATAGACTGCTATCATAGTTCTTTTAAAGTAGATATTTGTGACACCATATTTCTTGCTGTTGTCCAGGGTATCCTCTGTCAGCCAGGTTTATCCTTCTACACCATTGGCCAATCGAAAAGGCATCTATGATACTTTATTTGCTTTCCTTGATACCCAGCAGAAGATCACAGGTAATTGCCATCACACGGATTTTGTAGGTCTGCAATGAAAATTACAAGGAAGAGATATGAGATAGAGCCAACCAATCAGCAGGACCTGTGCTCATTCTACTTATGCAAGCAGGCACCAATGCTCTTTGTGCAACCTCCCATTACTCCTGTAAGAAGGGAGTGGCAAACTATTTCAATAGCGTTGCCAAGAAAACTACTTGGAAATGTCCACGAAGCCATGAAGCTTTGGTTCAGCTTGATGGAAGCTTTACTTTTCATAGAACCCCTCCCCCCCAGGTTTTGTTTGCAGTGTCACGATTGATTATTATTCCTCCTAATAGCCAACTAAACATTGATGTTCCAGGTGGATATCTACTTAGAATGTATTTTTCTGTCCTTTGACATGACAGGATCTGCTTGTTCTTCTCATACCAAGAGTACAGAGTCCTGGCTGCAAAACCACCTTGGGCCATTTGTCAAACAAGCTCCTTATGAAGATTTGATCAAGCTGCTGGCCAGCTTCAATGCGGTACTGTAGCTGGATTGTATGATCTGAAATATTTTGCTCCCATTCCCAGCCTTCATTCCACCACCTCACATGCTTTTTTGTTATGTGCTTCAAACCATGTTTTGCTGCTCATCTGCACACTGCTCTTTAATGTAGGGTAACAGAATAATAGTTGAAAGGGATCTTGAGGTCTTCTAGTCCAACCCCCTGCTTAAGCAGGAAACCCTATTCCATTTCAAACAAACGGTTGTCAATCTTTTCTTTAAAAACCTCCAGTGTTGGTAGCACCCACAACTTCTGGAGTGTAAGTTGTTCCACTGACTTTCTCCTTAGTCCTAGGTGGTTCTGATAGATATCAAAGAACAAGTACACCAAGGAATAGTAATGATAGTAACATTGATTCCTTCCAATAGGCTGCAGCATCGTGGGGCTATTATTGATGCTTCGGAGGGAAAGATTTATTTTTCCCCTAAGCGTAGGGAAAGCATTATCCAGTTAGTTAGACAGGTCTGTAGGGAGCAGTCTGTCCCTGTTCTCCTTCTGTCCAAGCTGCTGGGGAAAATTATTTCCTGCATCACCATAGTGCCGTGGGCTCGCCTCCATGCACGGATGCTGCAGTGGCTGCTTCTTCCACATCAACGCAACGGCACCAGCAATGCGTGGTTCAAGGACAAGGTACCACCCCAGGTCCTCTTGTCCCTGCAGTGGTGGCTGTCACCAGATCTTCAGAAAGGATTGGTCTTCAGAGATCCGATACGCCTCATTCTGACACCAGAATGGTCAGTGGTCCCCGGCAGTCTTAAGACACAATAAAAAAATGGCTAGAACTGAGAGGGTCCATCTGGTGCTCAGAAATTTGCACCACGAATCGGCGCCCAACATTTGGTGGCCCTGTGGCACAAAGCTTTCAAACTGGGGACCTGGGTGGAACATCATTTCTGTCTTTGATGGCGGAGCACATCTCCTGTGTGGACAACAAGCAGGCTGATTGGCTCAGCAGGGCCACCATTGACCACAGGGAGTGGCAACTTCAGGCCGAGCATTTTTCGGCGGATCTTTCGGAGATTCAGATAACCGCTCGTGGATCTCTTCATGTCACTGACCAACGCCTAGCTTCCCAGGTTCATCTCCCGGCTCAGGGAGCAGAGGACATGAATGCACTGCGCTGCTGGTGGCCGGAGGGTCTCCTGTACGTCTTTCCTCCCCTTCCCCTCATTCCTGAGGATTCCACAGTGGCTCCAGTTGACCACCTGGTGCTTGAGCGGGAACATCTGAAGGTGGCCAACTTCTCTGATAGGGTGATTGGAATGATTGTGGCTTCATGTAGGCAGTCTACCATGCGTATCTTTAACGCCACATGGGTCACCTTCGTGTCTTGGTGCAGGGGGACACACGTGACTCCTGCTGTGCCCCTCGGTCCCTCAGATTTTAGAGTTCCTAAAAGATGGGTTGGAGAAAAACCTTTCTCACAACATCATCCTTAGGCAGATGGCGACACTGTCTACGGTGCTAGTGGGCAAGGGGAACAGGTCCCTTGCTCAGCATCCGGTGATCAAACAGTTTCTTAAGGGGGCTGCTAATCTCAGGCCACCAGTTGTCCACAGGTTTCCCACATGGGACTTACCCTTAGTGATTCAGGCTCTTACGAAGGAACTTTTTGAGCTGCTGAGGATGGTTAGTACGCAGTACCTCACACTCAAGTTGGTCGTCTTAGTGGCAGTCACTTCCGTCAGACGTATCTCGGATGAATGCCTTGTTTTCAAGGGCGGATCTCTGTGTGTTTCACACGGATTGAGTGGTATTGCATTTAGACCCATCCTTTTTTCCTAAAATCAACTCGCCCTTTCACAGGGCACAGGAAGTGGTGCCCTGTGATCACATGGAAAGTGATTGTGACATAGGTTGGCCGTCAGGCATTGACATTTCTCTTAGGCGTATTGCTTCATTCTGCCAAACAGAAGCTCTGTTCGTCTCCTTCCATCCTTCATCCTTAGGGGCTAGGGTCACCCCATCCACCATTGGGCATTGTATCAGGTCAGCTATTTCCAACGCAGGCACGGGGTGTTCAGATTCAGGCCGGCATAGCTGCCCACTCGACAAGGAACACGGCAGGTTTGGCAGCCTGGTTTGCCCAGGCTCCGTTTGAAGACATCAGTCGGGCAACTTGTTGGGCTTCACCCATGCCATTCATTAAACACTATCGCCTTGATGCCTATGCTTCAGCTGAAACTTCATTCGGTTGTAGGGTTTTGCAGAGTGTTTTGGAAGCCCAGCCATCTCATGCTTCTTAGTTCCCTTCCTTGGTAGGTAGCTTTGGCATCTCCCAAACCCAATCTCCTATAGAGAATAACAGTTGGTCTTACCTGACCTGTATTTCTTATAGGATTGGGGAAGCGTCCAGGTCCTCGCATGTAAGTTTATAGGACTTCTGGGTAGCAAGTGAGGCTGGGAAGGCGGGTCCCTTTTCCTTCTGACTTGTGTTCAGGTTTTCCATGGAACTGCGACCTTTGTTGAAAGTAGAGCCAAGCACAGGAAGCAGAGAGGCGTGGCTTCAAATTTAACTCAGTCTCTGGGCAGATTGGATGTGAGAATAACCCATTCCTAGATGCTTCCCCAATCCTATGAGAAATACAATTCAGGTAAGACCAACTATTATTCACTCCCTCAAGAGCTGGTTGAGGTCAAACAATAAGTAGAGTCCCCAGAATTTGACTCACAAAGATGCCAGGTAAAAGGGCAAATCTTACTGCTCCTTTTCCCCACTCCCCCCCCTTTGGAATGTTCATCCTGGTGCTCAGATAATTAACAAGAAGTCCATTCATGTTCCTGTTGACACTCATTGGAAAGGAAGAGATTGCAAGAAAGAGGAATTTGCGAGCACTGGCAATTTGCCTGGTGCTCTTGCAGTGGGAGCGCAAACAGCTCAGATGGCAAAAAAGCCTTAAGTGTCAAGCTGCCTTTCATCAATTTCAGGGCTGATCATGTGAACTTGCACTAGCACTTATTAGAAAAGTGCTCTGCTATTGAAAGCAACTCAAGAAGAAAAGGCTTATTTATGAGGGATGAAAAAAATAATTGGGTCAGGCATAGGACACCATGGGTATCTGAGGGCAGATCAAAATCTGCAAGATGGTGGGCATGTTACGACTGAAGATCTAGTCCTTTTCTATGAAAAAAGTATGTAGAAAGGGAGAGGGTCTTAAATCACAACCTAGCACCTTCCTCATTTTTACCCTCCTTTTATATATTCCTGTTTTCAAAAGTTTTGGATTCCTCCTGACAAATCCATTCTTTTTTTAAAATTTTTTTTTATCATTTCAGATAATTTAACAGAATATAATATATGTGCACACACACAGTAGCATATTTAAACAAAAGGGAGCAAATGACTATATTGCCAATGCCAAAATCATTCCACCTGCAAGGCAGGCTTAGGGACAGAATGAGTTTCCAATTTCACCTAAACTCTACTTAGCTCTTCTGATGACCTCATAACCCTTGTGATGTCACTTGCCTTCCTTGTTCAAGGTACAGATAGCCATAGTGTGGGTTTGGTAATCTGTTTGAGAAGCAGATGATCTAAGATTTGATTAGAAAGCTTCCTTTTACTTCTGTTCTCCCCAGTTTAGTCCAAGAAAGGACACAGAGCCCTTTTGCAGTAAGAGGCTTTGTACTGGGGAAAAAAAGAAGTGTAACCTACAGGAATCTTCAATCTTTCAAGTCACCATAAGTTCTATAATAGGAGCCTGAAGATGTCTTTCTCTAGCCTTAGCTTCTCTATGGTTAAGGTGAGACAAAACAGATCACGTTCTAGGACTCTGGAATGTCTACAGCAGAGTTTCTCAATCTTGGTAACTCTAAGATGTGTGGACTTCAACTCCCAGAATTCCCCAGCCCATTGATCCAGAGCAGGGGTCTCCAATCTTGGCCATTTTTAAGACTTCAACACTTAGCTCACTTTGGCGAAGCAAAAAAGAAACTTTAATGCTTGTTTGGTGCTCAAAAGTCGTAAGCAAAGAAAGAAAGGCTGGAACACATCTTGGTTGGCTTTAGTCCACGCAAACTAAGAGATATTCAAGTCTGATGACAGCATTTTAGGGAAAGTGGGGAAAAAAAACTCAATAGGTACTCTTGAAGTCTTGAAGCTTCTTCTTCATTAGATTAGCAGGAGACCATGAGAATTAACAAGACTGATTTGATGCAGCAGGTGGCAAACTATCCCTATGCAGGTCCACTGGTCACATCTCAGGACACATATTTAAACAAACTTGAGAAATGTTAAAATGTTATTTCTGTTAGAATGTTCTCTCTAACCAAAGCTAATATTTCTTTAAAAAGAAATTAACAGATTGAAACTCTGTTTAGAAAGCTAATTTTAGCTCCAAAAGTGAGCTTTTCACTGTCTTTTTCCAGAGCCATGATGGAGGGAATTTTTTTTAAATCTAGGATTTATTTTTAAATGCAAGTTGGGTATATGTGCACAATATAATCTTCAGAAAGGATTCACCTCAACATCACATTCAACAAAAATGAAGGCATTATTAGTAATAAAAGAAAATTCCACACAAGAAAACTAGATTGGTTTACCAATATCTTTCTCGTATATTTCCAGTTTGAGGTGAAGGATAATCTCACCTCCACCCAACTTGCTCACGTCTTTTTTGGCTCTAACATCCTGAATAATCCTGATACAGTCCGGGCACTTCTGATGCCTTTAGAGAATAGGCCTCTGGAAGAGACCATTGCTTTTGTGTCAGAGTTTGTCCTCATTGCTTCACAGGTAAGTTGTCTTTTATAAGCTTTGTCCTCAAATCTGCAGGGATTCAGAACTGCAGTCTTTAGACCTCTTGTCACCATTATTGCTTTTCTTTGCAACGATTCCCCTATGCTACTATCTAAGCAGCCTTTTTAGTTACTGGGTTAAGCAATTTAAACCTCAGGCCAGAGCAGTCTGATTTCAGAAGTCATTTGCAAGGGATCAATCCAGATGCAGAAGAATTGATATACTCCATCCCCAACAATCTGTTGCAGATATAAAAGAGAAGAGAGGATGTTGGAAGAGAGAGAAAATAACAATGTACAAAAAAGGAGGATTCAGAAAAGTGAATAGAAGGCTTCACTCCTTTTTGGCTTTGATGGATCTGCTACTTGCTTCAGTTCCACCCATTTGCAAGCAAGATAATCCATGCAAGACTAATTCCAAGTACAGTTAGGGCTCAAAAAGATCCCCCAGCTCTGATTTAGGGAGACATATGAAGCATCTGGAATATCTTGTGGCTTATTATAATTAATGAAATATATTCAAGAATATTCTTGGTCCAATGCATAGGATAAAAAACAGTCCCCAAAGTCTAATAGGATTTTTGAAGCAATGAACTTGGCTGGGCCTTGCTTTTCAGCAACCTCACCCCAAAAGGGGAGATTTGGACCGCAAGAGTAGAGCTCAGAATGCCCTTGCTTAGCAAGAAAAAGCAAAATGGCCATTGGGTTCTTCCCAAAGCTGCACTTACTTTATTTTCATTGCATGGTCTGCATTTCTCTGCCATTTTGGTTGAATTGTTAATTAGAGGATCGGAGGGGGGAGGTGTCAAAGAAATCAAGATTGTGGTCACAGTGCTCTCCTTCCCCTGTCTTTTGAGGGGAAAATCTTGATTAATGTGAATTGTCTGGTTGTGTTTCTTCTTGTCAGAAGGGAATGATGTTCCTGGAAAACTCAGAAGTGAGGTTTTTGATGCTTGAAGCCTTTTTCTACAAGATGCACAATTTGCTCCTCAGTGCCTCTGTCTCCCAGTATAAAGATTGGTTCCAGAGTAAGCTGATTCTGTGGCTGCCCAGTATGAATACCACCATCCTTGCAATGATCCCCAAAACTGTCCCTTGTGGCTGTTTCAAAACTATGTGAGTAATTTACTCATTGATAGATTTATCAGGGCTTCAAATGAGACTAAGGGAAATAAATTGTAATCATTAAACTATTTTTAAATTATTTTATATTATGAAATACATTGCACAGACAACCGGATGTTCAAACTAGATTTGGCATTTATATCTGCCTATTGAGTCCTTCCCAAGGACCTGGGTTAGGCAGATGTGGATGTTAGCTGGTATTAGAAGTACCATTGTAGGATGGAAGCTGTTTCGAGTAAAGCCACATTTTGCAATTGAGTGATGATGAATCTGTCAATGCCAATAGTGTTCAAGTGGTGCTCCAATTGTTTGGGGCACCAAGGCCTTTATTACTATTTGTCAGCGTTCCAAGTATCATGTAGAATTAAATCAGAGTCCAAGGCAAATTGATCCTTAAATTTCCAATTTAATAAATCAGACATCTTAGCACATCTGTGTAATCCCAATTCTAAACAGCTTCCTGGAATTCCACCCAGTTAAAAGTTCATGATCTTGTCCC